ATTTCCGTGATGTGTGCCGCAAAATTCATAGGTAAATAAATAGAAGTTTATATTCTTGATTTCCCTAGAATGGCAGAGACGTTAGCAATGATCTGATGTACTTAAAAATGCCACTGCTTTCTCCGCCGATTTGCAAGAAACTTTTGCGCAAAATAACAAAGATGACGAATGGACAGATTTGCGCGGGATACCTAGAAGGGCAGAGGGACGCTTGTCAGGTGAGGACAATAACTTTGCTATCGAGCAAGTTTATCTTTTCACGAGGAGAAATTATTAAGGATATTCCACACCACAAGTTTTTAAAATTTTTTAACAACACGCAAAAACATGATATTTTTTTTACGTCAATCCCATAGTAATCTCGCGAAAAAAAATGAAAAAACATTAATTTTGACTATATGTAGGTGTAGAACATCCTTGAGAATGTTTTAGTGTCGACAGAGGAAGTTTTATTGATTTTTTCTTGGACTCGGTTTTTTTTTTCTGAGTTGTGTTACACATAGAAAAATTTTAGCTAGTGCTAGAATTTTTCTGCGGTTTGATTTTTCATGTGAAATAATTGTAGTAGGAATAGAGTCGATATACTTGTAATTATGGTTCCAGGGAGATTCCGGGGGTCCACTAATGTGCAATGGCAGCCTGACTGGAATAGTGTCCGGAGGTTCTGGTTGCGCTCGTCCAGAACTCCCAGGATTCTACTCAGAAGTCGCTTACTACAAGAACTGGATAGAAAGGGTTCAATCAGCAGCAGATTCGTGTTGCAAATGTGCCTGTCAGAGAAATGTCAGCAACTCTAGCGTCACAGTTACTTATGGCACATTATTACTGTTAATTATTGGAATCTACTTGTCTATTTATTAAAAAAAGCAGTTGTTATTATTTAAGTTTATCATTATTTTTTATTATTCATGTATTTATATGGTTGAATTCATATTAATTAATTATTATTCTTTGTGAAAGGATCAACAGAATAATTTCTCGGGGCTTCTCCGACGATAAGGGGATTCAATGTGCAATTTTGATATTTCTACTGTCTCTGTAGTTGATAAGTGGCCGACTGATAACAATGCTGTGCGGGGTAACAGCCAAATTAAAATTTTGTTATCAACAATTCCATTCGACAGGTTCAGGTGTTTCACGTTGAAATCTTTTTTGCGATACTTTTTTTCATAGAAATTCATTTCAAAATTTATCTGGCTATCCCGCACGGCCAACAATGTACATGTGAAATATATATCAATTATATGCATATATACTTCGCTATAATATGCGGTATATCAGACATGCGGAACATATATGAGCACATATATATTATCCGTAAGTATTCGACATATATTTATGATGATCAGTGAAATATACTTTCGATCAAAAAGGCTGTATGTCGCATATAATTATTAGTGTATATAATTTTTGCGCGAGGGATTGGATACATTGAAATATTTTCTTTTTTTGAACCCCTGATTTTCCCAAATTTTAGTAAAAATTTCAACTGGAAATGAAGACTTATCGCCGATTTCCATTAAACTTTATAAACATTTCTGAAGACACAGAAATAGTATATTTCTGGACTGTTGGGATGGGGCTTTTTACTCGTATGGAGTTGCCCTCCGAGCCGAAGGCGAGAATGGGCCCACCGCACAAGTAGAAAAACCCATCCCAACAGTCCAGATAATATTTTTCCGTAGTTATTTTCAAGTTTTCGAGTTTCGGAAGTATGTAATACCAATTCTCAGATGAGAAATCGTGCGAAGCAGTACAGAACAATCGATTCCGTATCATGAAAGCAGAGATAGGTAAATGAAGTTCGCCCGAGTCGAAACTCGTAAGGCTGATTCCTTATTGGTCAACTCGAATCCGATGTCAAAATTCAAATTCGGCGCACGGCGTGCGCAGTAGATCTCGTTGCTTCTGAATGGAAGCATTGTAATTGTTTGATTTAAAGTGAGCTATTTATCATGTTTGAATAACCAACTTTGAGAATCTTTATACTATTCTTAATCAAAGCACATGAATTTTTCTACTTCGACTTTCCGATTTTTTGCATTAGGACGACCTATTTTCGAGTTGGGAATTTAAAAATTAACTTTTTCGGAAAATGCTCGTGTGTATGTATGCATTAGGGTGGCCCTCCCGATGCCTTCAGCTGAATTTTAACCGCGCCGCCCCCTCATCGCAGTCGAAAAAAATATTTAAAAAAGTTCACGAAGTTTCCATGTCGTAGTTCAATGGGAAACCGTGCGAGTGAAACGGTGTTTTTTTTTTTTCATTTAAATAATACGGGTTCAGTCAATTTTCTGCGTTTTTTTTGCGTTCATTAAAAATATGAACTCTAGAGGAAATGCATCGGGAATACAGTTAGTTTGTGTAGAATTTTTAATACCTATGTCAATTGATCCTAACCATCGAATAATTAATGTTTTTCCGATAATTGATAATTTGGGGACACAGTAATGAAGGATACGCGAAAAAGTTGCAAATAAAAAATGTTTCTCTGTGAATAATTTAGTCCTCTATAACATTATCTATAACATAACATTTT